GCTGGGAATGGCTACCCTGATGCAGGTGTACGTGTGTCAACACCCATAAACGTGTGCACATGACTGTGCAGCCCAGAGGGACTCTAAGAAAAAGGCAACACTTTCCAGAGAGTGTTTCTACAGTGCTCACTGGAGCAGTGTAAGGAGGCTATAAACACCCAAATTCCAGGCCAAAATTATTGGGATATACACCCTGCTCTGCCTCCAAAAGAGCCTCCATCGGACAGGAAAGACTGGCAGCAACAAGCACCATCTCCAGAGCACATCCCTTGCCCTGGCAGTACTGAGCTCATGGTGCTGGGTGCCAGCTCCAGGGGATGCCCACTGGTCCAGCCTCTGACTTTGTGTGCTGGCTGTACCCACAGGCTCATGCACGCCGTGCTAGCTGGTTGCTGGTGAGCAAATAATCCATTCTTGGTGGAAAAGAGGCCAGCAGACAGGAGAAGGGACAGCTTGAAGTGGCTTCACACTGGGCACAACATCTCACTTGCTTGATTCCTCTTGGAGCTGTTTCCCAGTGCTCCTTCTAGCCCAGTTTGGAAGGACCAGACAGTGGGAGGGAGTGCCGGTGTGCAGTGACCCCCCAGCCCTGGGCATGCTGCTGGCCCTGCACCCACACAAACTGCTGGGCAAGGCTGTGCCTCCTAAAACCTCTGTGGGTAGGCAAGAGGAATGGGGGAGCTTAGACCAAAAGTCCTTGGCAAAGGAGGGCAGCCAGGCTGGGGGATGGGCTTTGGGGTAAATCCAGAAGACCCCCCAAGTTCACCCTGGGGTCTGGGAGGCTGGACAGATCCCAGCCTGGTGCTGTCCTCTAATATGAGAACAGGGTGCAGGGGCAGCCATGCCTCCATCTGCCCGCTGGTGATTTTGGACGCCAGACACAATGAGAGCAGCCTGGTACAGTTGCAGGTACATGCACCAGCCTCAGGGAGCCCCCAAAATCCTGCCTCTTCCCAGGGAACTGATCCACTGTGTTCACAGATAAGGCAAGGTACAGGGAGATGCCCCATGCCCCAGGACAGGCAAGGCCACTCTACCTTCTCTGCCTCCTCCCGACTCATGGCCAGTGCCAGCTGCAGCTGCAGCTCCTCCTCTCCTGTCGTCTGGGGCCGCGCTTGCTCCAGGTCAGAGGCAAACCGTGGGGATGAGGATGATGCTGGGAAATAAAAGAGGAAAAGGGGAAGGAGTGGCATCAGGACTGAGGCATTTTGGGAAGCACATCAGCAGTTTCCAGGCTTCTGTCCCAATGCCCAGGCTCCCCAGGAGATGTAGCCACACATCAAAACTCCCTACTTCCAACAAGCCATGAGTTTAGGGCTGGAAGCCCCACCAGCTGCCACTGCTGCTGGGGTCCACCACTGGCCCAGCCAAATCTCTGCCCTGTGGTGCAGGATGGGCTTCACCACCACCATCCCAAAAGATGCAGAAGAATGACGGGCACCGAGCAGGTGCAAACCAAACGCAACACCTGCCTCCCCTGAGAGAGCTTGAGTGGGCCGCCCGTAACACTCACAGTTGAACGAGGAGGGTGAGCCCCGTGCCCGGCTGTAATCTTCACCGTAGGGCGATGCCCGGCGGCCGTAGGGGACCTGGTGGCTGCCGCTGCCCATGCCCTCCAGGGCCATGCGCTCCTTGGTCTGCAGCGCGTGCGCCCGCTCCTGCTTCAGCCGCTCCTCGTCCTTCAGCAGCGCCATCACCTGCTTCACCTTCTCCCGGATGTTGATGCCCTGGTCCTTGCCGTCACGGTCCACGTACTGGAAGTCCTTCAGCGTCTGGATGGTGTAGAGGTTCTCCCGGCACTGGTGGGTCACCTTCTCGGAGCCGGTTTTGATGAGGTAGTCCAGGAGGGTGAGGGCTTTGTAGACGTGGCGCCAGTTCTTGCCGCTGTCGTTCAGCCGCCGCCAGATCATGCCCATGACCTCGGCGAAAGCCACCGTGTTGAAGGTGAGGTCGGCGATCTCTGACATCAGGGAGCTAGGAGGACCCCAGGGGTCATTGGAGGTGGCCTCCCGCACCTTGATCTCTGCCTCTGAGTAGTTGTGCACGATGTTCTCCACCTGCCGACGCAGCGCCGAGGTTGTCATGGCTGTGTGGTGCTGGAGGCCTGCTGCTGGCAGGCAGGAACAGGGGAGAAGGGATGAGTGAGCACGGCCACAGCCTCAGCAGCACCTGCAGCAGGGAACAGCGACACAGAGATCTCAGCATCACCCCAAGCACCGTCCCCAGAGTCCTCAGCTGGCACCAGGGACATTTCTCAAGGTGGATGTGAACATCATAGGGGCATCAGATGCACCCTGCCAGGCTGCCATGACTCACCAACACAGACACACAGGATGCTCAAGGGGAAAAAAAATCTCATGGCAAGTGATACCCAGAATTGCCAAACCACCACAAGTTTTGACTCTGGATTCAACAACATTTGGAGATTCTACCCTGCACTTCTGCTTCTAAAAGTAATCATCTGAAAATGGCAGCTCCCTCCTCCAGATCCTGTCTGCCTCAGCTCCACTGTCCTGGCAAAGCTGATTTCAGACCCTCCCAGCCCTTGTGCAGCCAGGAGTTCCCCTGTACAGCCAGATGCACTACCTGCAGCTGCACGCAGCCCTGCTTGTCCCAGTTGTCAGCCCAAGGCTCTCAGTGCTGCCAAGGCTGCATCATGCAAACCCCAAACCTTGTCATGAGTCAGAGCCTGTAACAACTCACTAGTGCTGGCAGCTGCTCAGGCAGGTTTTCCCAGCAAATTCGGTAATTTTGTTCCCGCGAGAGGCTGGCAAATTCAGGGTGCTAACAGCCAGTGCCAGGTTAGCCAGCAGGATGGATAATGCCCCTCTCACCAAAACCCCGAGCTGTCTGAGCCTCCTCTGGGCCTAGACACAGGGGCTGCAGGGGTTGGCATGGCCAGGAGCTGCCCTGGTACCTCCCCACAGGCAATGCCTGTCCTTGGGGTGCGCCCCACTGACACAGACGCAGTGACATGGGGCAGTCTGGACCTGTCCTCATATGAGCCCATCACAACTCTGTGCCCTGCTCCATGCTGCTCCTAAATCCTCACCTTCTCCCTGCATGGTGAGAAGACACTGTTCACCCTCATTTTGTCAAGGGGAGGGAGAGGCAGAGGCTGCCTGGTGCTGCCTTGCCCTCAGCAGGGCTACACGGCAGGACTGGGCAGCTGAGCTGCTCCCAGAGCCCTCACTGCAGCTGTGACAAAACTCACTGGCAATTTTTCCCCCATCTAAGATAACACATGTGAGCAGAGGAGTATCTCCCCCACACAGCAGTCTGCAGACAGCAGTTATCAGCGTCCATTTCATCACCCACCTTGGGTTCCAGTACCTCCCTGGACTGCAGCTGTTGTACCATAGCCAGCCCTCTCCTAGCTCAGGATACCACTCCATCCCACTGGAGCTGGGCCAGAGCCACGCTGATGTGCCCACAAGCCATGCACAGCACCCACCACGGTCCCACACAACCCGTGCAACCAGTCCGGCACCTCCTGCTCCTGTGGGCCAGCAGCCAGGCGCCCCACAGCTCCGCCAGCAACAGCTCCCGTGAGTCAGAGAGGAGCCTGGCACCACCACGCTCGCGGGCAGACCGAGTTTCTCCCCAGCCGGTTCCCTGCACGGATTCCCTTTCGCAATGCAGCCGTCAGCGCGGCCTTTGGATCCACCGGGAGAGCCCCTGGTGCTGTCAAGCCTGCCTGGCACCGAAACGCCTCCAGGACAAGGGCAGCAACACAGCAAAGTCCTCCAGGACTTGGCTCCGTGCTCTGCTTTCCACCAACACCCAGGTGGAGATAAAGCCACGTTCTCCAAAGGTGCCACCAGCCTGGAAAGCACCAGCAAGTACAGTGGCAGTCCGAGGAGGAGGCAGGATGGTTCCTTCTGCCTCCAACAGGTTTCCTAGCTGGACAAACGCCAAGGTCCAGTGACAGGCTCCCGGCATTGCTCATCCTGGCCAGAAATCTGACCCCAGCTGGACTTTGCCCACCATGAGATGGCCTGGGAAGTCTAAATGGAGAGAGATGGGAAGCATGGGCTGGGGCAGGGATGAGAAGAACGTAATCAGGGCTGGAGCTGCCAGCGGGGCTTAGAGCTGCGGGTTTATCAAACACAATATCATCCCCCCCCCCTCCACGTCCCTGGAATATAAAGGGAGTGAAACAGAAGCCGTGTGGGAGATAAGGCGGCAGCACCCAGCAGCTCATATGGAATTACTGCAGTGACCTTGACCAAGAGTGGCCAGGTGGGAGAAGGACACGCCTGCGGGGCCAGGTCCCCGTGGCCGGCGGGCCGAGGCAGGGGCTGCGGGGGGCGAGGAGGAGGAACGGACAGCGGTAGGGATGGGGGGGATGCGAGGGGGCAAAAGGGACCGGGAGGGGAGCGGGGCCGGGAGGGGGATTTACAGCTCCATCCTTAATCAGGTGCAGGGCTGGGAGGAGCAGCGGCCGCCATGGGGGAGCGGAGGGAACGGCTCCGCAGCGCAGCGGGGCCCGAGCCCGGCCCGGGAGCTGTCCCGGCACCCCCGGCCCGGCATCCCCCGCAGCCCGCGGTGCTCCAGCCTCCAGAACCTTCCTCCTCCTCCTCCTCCTCCTCCCCCCAGCGCCGCGCGGACCCGGAGCGCGCAGCCCGCCCCGGTTACCTGCGCGGTGCCGCCGCCGGTGAGCGCGGCTGGAGGCGGCCGCCCGCTCCTGCTGCGAGTTGCCGGGCTGGCTGGGCAGGTCCCGGCGCTGCTCCCGGCTTAACCCCTTCCCTTCGGGGCCGCCCGGGCACCGGCACAGGCGCTCCGGCCCGCCCCCGGTGCGCTGCGGCGCAGCGCGGTGCGGTACCGGCCGCGGGGGATGCGGAGCCCCGGCTCCGCCGCATGCGGGAGGCGGGGATGCTGTAAATGCTCAGTCACTGCCCCTTCTCTGGCAGCCAGCCCAGCCAGCCGCTGCTCGCTGCTGCCTGCGCGCCTCTATTCCTTTTTTTTTTTTTTTCCCTCCTCCCCCCGCATTATTTTTAGACAGAAATCCACGTCCCCGGGCGCGGAAGAAGCTCCGAGGGATGCCGACCCTCCCCACCACGCAGCTCCCCCTCTGCTACCCAAGGCCACGCTCGCAATTTGGGTTCTTTAATTTATTTTTTTTTTTCCCTTTTGCTAGGATCTAAATTTGGAGCGGGTTCTTCCCCTGCTCTGAACAGCTCCCGGAGCCTGGCTGGGGGGAGAGAGAGAGAGGCATCAGATGACATGACAAAATAAGTCATGTCTCTCATCATTTCAATGCCACCCCCTCTCTCTCGGCCTCTGCCTTCCATTTTAATCACTGACAGCCCTTCAAGTATTATGGATATATATAATCTTTTTAATATCATTGACATTTTTCACGATGGAAAACATCTCAGGGGTGCTGAGACATTCTGGGGGGGGGGAGGGGGGTTGTGCCTTCCTGCTGCTGCTTCCACCAGCCACACAAAGTGCTGAGCCCCATCTTGCCCCAGGGTCCTGCCTTAGGTCTGGGGGAGGCCGTGTGCCTCTGGGGGCTTTGCAGATCACAGCAGCCTGACATTCCCAACAGGCTCTGGCCGTGCAGGCTGAATAAGCATCCAGTCCCACTCCCAGCTGCAGTGTGGGAAAAGGGCATATCCAGCATCCAACCCCTCTGCAGGTCAGCCCAGAGAACATCCCAGCTCGGGAAGTGACAGGCATTCTTCATGGCAGCCCAAGCTCCAAGCTTTCCCCTTCCTTATTCCCAACCTCCTGCTTCACTGTGTCAGATGGTAAGGCAGACAGTTTGCCTTTCTGCAGGCAGGGATTTTTTTATGAGCAAAGTGAACCTCTCCATGGGGAAAACACCCCTGGAAGTGTTTTTGGAGCTGTACAAATGTGGAGTTTCTTTGCTGGGGGACCCAAAATCCCTCCATGGGTATAGGACCCACTGCTTGCCCTCAGCAGAGCCTGGCTGCTCACCCAGACCCCCTCTGCCATTGGAAATGTACTGTCATCTTCTGCTTGCAGCATAGTCCTGCAATTCCCCCTCTTCCCGTTCTCTCTGGTGGTGATGGTGTCTTCAGGCCCCACTCACATGATGGGTTTGGAATGCAACTCCCAAGGCCAGGAAGGTTGCTCACCTTGGTTATTTAGCAAACACAACACAAATTATTAACACTAATACAAATAATGCCCACGCTTGGGAGAGGAGAAGGAATGATTTCCTTGCCTGGCTGCAAGTATTCAGCCTTACAGTATCCTGCAGAGTGCAGGGCTGACAGCCCTGAGTCTCCTTACTAAGGACAGAGCCCATATCTCACACTAGGCCTGTAAATAAGAGGTGTGTGTTTCTAAAGCTACTTTGTGCAAGCCACCTCTAATTCCACTGCAGTTCCTGTTCTGTTACTTCCACAAATCAATGCAAAAAAAAAAAAAAAAAAAAAAAAGGCAGCTGGCTCACAAAAAGCTGCAACAGCCAGAGAGAGAGTAGAATACCACAGTTGTTGGCCCAGCACATCCCTTCCTGAATGCTCCTTGTACCTGTTCTCTGAGGACAGTCTTGTCCAAGGCTGGAAGAGGCACTGGCAATAATTATGACAAAAATTACAACAAGAAATTAGACTATTCACAGGTTTGTGAATAGTCTAATTCACAATTAGACTGCCCTCTGCCCACCTGCCCTCTGCTACCAGTCTCCCCCCTGGAAGGGAAGATGCCAGCACAGGACATTCTTCCATTGTACGTGACTGATGTCAAACTTTCATCTACCCGTGTTGTATTAACAGATTTTCCTGTGGGTAGATGAACACATGGAGCCTGGTTTCAATAGGACTGAAGATATGGATCCATGGAGACATGGATGGGCTTTGCCATCCTTTAAGGTAAAACTACCAAATAAAAGGATTCCTGCCTCTTCAACAATCACGTGTCCTCTAGAACATGCAGACTCCCTCTCTCCTAGAAACAGATGGCTTGAACAGTTTGAGTTGGGCACATTCACAAAGCTGATAATCATCTCCAGGAAGGCAGGAGCTATTGTCAGAGCCTGTGAGACACACCCCAACTTCAGGCCTTTTTCCCCCTAATTCTCAAAATGTTGCTGAAATTCTCAATCCAGGAATGCTGAGCAGAGACAATCCCTTTATGGGTCTGTGCCCACTAAGCCAGAGGAGGCTCCTGCTGCTATAGAACCCAAAATCCTTCCCCACACCCCACTAAGAGAAAATATCTCAAAAGATGAGGAGACTCACCTGGCCAGTGAAAAAAACAAGCTGTTCTTTGCCATGGTACTGCTGGGAGCCAAGGGGAAAAACAGATCCTCTCCCCAGAGACAGCACAGGAGTTAAAAGGAGAAAGCAGAAGACACCAATTCAGCAGAAGGAGCAGTCATTTCACACTGCATGTGCAGTTGCAAGCCGTGTGCCAGCCCAGGGACAGGGGCACGTGCCCAAGGGACACACCTGGAGCCACTGAACCCATGACTGAGCGATGCTGAGCATGGATAGGCATCTGCTGCCTAAGAGCTCTAGCTGGATCTCCATCCCCAGTTAATGATCTACGCTGATGTCACTGCTCTGCAGGGCCAAAGCCTTCCTGGGGAATGCTGTCCAGCTACTTTAGCAGGAAGGTGGCACTTACTGACACCAGGCCAGGACAGATCCCACACAGAGCTCACCCTGCCTCGAGAACCTGCTCCAAGTCCAGTGTGCCACGCTCAGGCCTGGATGCCTCCACAAAAAGCCCTATTCCAGCAGTGATGCACACACAGGGAAAATGCTGATGAGCCCAGACACACAGGCAGATGGACAGACAGGAGGGGATGGCTCTATCATGAGGACTTACCGTGGCTCACAACTTCTATAGCACAAATTTCACTCATTTAAGAGACATTAGTCTTGGCAAAACCTGGCTCAGAATGGGGCATGGATACCTGGAGCTCAGTGGAAAGAGATGGCAAGATCAGCACAAGAAGGAAATCTGTGAGTGCAAAACCAGGCAGGGTGGCACACCCCTTGGGAGAGTGTTTTTACTGGGATGCAGAATGCCCCAGAGAAGCCTCCTCTCAGCAAGTCCAAAGCACAATCAAGACATAAAAAATATACCTCATGTTCAATGTCACTTTTTAATTCTCCTGTAGCAGAAATACCAGTATTTTACAGTCTAAATGTTTTCTGAGGTGGTAATACTTCTTGCCTTGTCTCTTCTTGGCAAGCATCATCTGTAGCAGTAACAGATGATCTAGCAATAGTCTCACATCACAGTGTGTCAGAAAAGAGGCAGCCTGGTATTTGTAATCACTGAATCACTTCAGAAAGAAGAATCTCCACTCCATTCTGTAAATATGGTTATTTATTTTATTTTTTTTAAAGCAAGTCTATTTCTACATACAAAGGGCTTCACTCCCACTTCAGAGCATGTTACTGCTTCAGATCCTCAAATAAAGACACCATTTCACTCACCATTGAATCTAGCAGCCTGTAAACCTGCAGAAATTGAGAGAAGACAGCTGCAGTGAAAACACACGAGGAAATCTTGAGGCTGAGACTGGCAGAGATGGTTTCTGACATTTTCATATGGGCACACACATAAGCACACAGAAGTGGCAGCCTGCTGCTGACAGAGCTCTAGTAATAACTTCCCTGGCTATGAAGTGTGTTTAACATTATCTGCAGTACAATTAATTCAGCTGATCCCTCCAGAGTCTGCAAGCCATGCTAAAGACATCCCAGATAGAAGTCCCACATGTGGCTGTGTGATGGCTGAATTTCTGCTAACAGATTCCAGGCTGAAACAAATTCATTTGGATTTCACACTTACCTTGCTGCAGCACAAGGGACATATGTCTGCCAGTTTTCTGAGTTTAACAAAACGCTTGCCTCTCCCCCTGAGCCTCAGTGTGCGTTACAAAAAAAGAACAAAACCAAGACAAGGACACAAGCTTTGGTCAGACTTACTTCAATGTAGAGCTTTTCCTGGTATGCTTCAAGTAAAATAGAGTCCACCTGCTCCTGAACAGGTTCTGCCCCATCTGTAGTTGCAGCTTCCTCTTTCACCTTCTGCTTGTCATCTCTTCCTTTCATGGACTCTGCTCCCCCTTTCATGTCCTGCACAGAAATGGAAGATAGTTGCTTCTCATCTTTTGCTTTCAGCTTTTTGCTGCCTGAATGATCCTAATCAGGAAAAGACCAAGGGGAAAAGGGACGTAGGTCAGGACACTGCTCAGACTGCTTCAAGATGCATCTCCCAGCAGCAGCAGCTCTTTCACTGGGTTGGAAATCAGCTCAAACTCAGGATACACAACCTCAGGATGATCACACTATCTCCAGCACTCAGGGTTCACCAGGCATCCCAACACCTACCGCTTTCTCTTTCCCTGATGTCCCTCTACATTTTTTGCCTTCTTTATCCATTTTCTCTTCTTTCTTACTAGCTATTTTGTCTTCCTTTCCTCCTTTTTTTCCTCCTCCTTGCTTTACTTCCTCTACAAAAAAAAAAGGATTTCAATTAACCAAAAGCATCCACACATCCAGGAAGTCCATCCCACTGCACTAGCACAGTGGGAATGTGTTACCTTTGCAGTATATTCTCCTCTTTTTATTAATCTGAGATGTACTGCACTGAAAAACAATAGACTTGAAGACTTCTTTGTTTAAATAAGGAATGAGGAGGTGTCATTGAAGCAGTATTTTCTGGGTCAGTCTGTGTGAAAACCATGGCTAAACCTAGCTGAATTCAAAGGCTTTTTTTGTTGGGGTGTTTTTTTACTGATGCCAAACCACAGATCCTAATTAGTATTGTTAATGTCACACAATCTGCCAGTTTTCTTCCTGATGCTTCTTCCTCAGGGAGACATGTTGAAATTGACATTTCAGTTCAAATTCATCATGTTTTTTGTATTTCCAACAGCCCACAGAAGGCAGCTGCTGTGCTAAAACCACCATTTACCTGTTTCCTCTGGAACAGCTTCTACATAGGTGTCCTCCTTAGTCAAACCAAGCAGGGATCTCAGCCTCAGAGAACAACTCACCAAGTCATCAATTGCTCTACGCCACAGCTGGAGGCTGAGAAAATGGTCAAGATCAGAAGGGAGATGGTGCAGCAACTGCCACCTTGTTTGACCCCGTGCCCAGAAGTGAAGGCACCTTATGGCTGACAGCTCTCCTGTGCAACTAAACCAACAAAACAGCACCCACTGTCTAAACATCTGTGCAGGGGGATGCTAAACTGCTTTCCTCATATTAGAGACCTCCAAGGTCTCAATGGTTTGCAAATCAGCAGGCTCCCAGGAACCCATAAATATTACTGTGAAACTAGGTCTGCTCCTCAACATGACACATGTTGTTATATCAACCTGCTCTGTGTTTACCAAGAGGAACCTGCGTCCTTTTAATTTAGAAGCAACTCAAAGCTGTTGATATTATTTACAGTCTGAAAGCCTGAGCAAAGAACAGAGAGACTGTATGAGGGAGGAGACAGTTATCTGAGTAAAAGGGTACAGAAAATACCCAAAGGTTTCATAAATACAGTCTGGAATAATCTTGCCAGAAATAATCTTGTACACTCTCCAAAATTACATGCATTTAATAGTCTAAACTTATCCCTAGGAAAAAAAAAAAAAAAAAAAAAAAAGACATTTGGGTCCTAGACAGCTGCTACAATTAAGCTATAAAAAACCAGGGTGTAAAGATGACTTCTAGACCTCATATAATTATGTGCACTCTGAGGACAACACTTGCAAGAGAGTTTTCTGAGGCTGTTGATCATACGGTGTTTCCACAAGCTTTTCCTTGCAAAGGAAACCCACCAGAGTGGATACAGCAGGTCTGACTGAGTTGGCCTCTGTTCAACACACAGCTCCAGAGCTGCCTTATTGAGTTGGGTCAGTGCTTCTTCCTGCTGCTCTTCCCCGGAGATTGACATTATAGCCTGCGAGAGAAAATTCACAGGGGCTGTGAAACACTTCTCAGTCTTTATTCTCAGTCCCTGAGCTCAGTGGAGCAGCCCACAGCTCTGTTCCTGGACACTAATCTGAAACCAGACTGCACTGGGCACTTACACACCCAAATGGGGCTTCCTACACACCTAGGATATGGCCAAGGTACCCAAGATCTGCAGAACAAACCCAGATTCCCTCATCAGACCGATATTAAGCCCCTTTGCAACTTCAGGTGTTCTGGGAAACAGAGATTCTATCAAGCTAGAAGGCTCCCTAGTAAAGCTTAGTTATAAAAACAACAGAGACATTTCCAAGAGAGCACTACAGAAAAATCATTGTCAGAATCCAAAGCACTCTTGCTTTAATCTAAGGAGGTCTGTACATCATCCACAGCTTGTCATGAGTGCTCCCTTAGTCCTCTGATGAATAGGAAGGACTCTCAAAGGAGAAGAGCCCTTGGGGGAGACACAGCAGGCTGTACACCCAGCCTGCCTCCACATTCAGTCCTGGGATGACAGAAAGCTAATGGAGGAACAGCTTAAAATATCTATTATATTGTGTGCTTCTCTTTTCTTCTTCGCACAACAGCCCACAAAGTCTCTCTCGGGAATCTCTTTACAAGATCACTGAGGGTGTGGTCAGCAGAGCAAACACACATCCTAAAAGTAAATCTTGTAAATCTCACAAACTCCCACCATATTGGCAGCAGCCCTTAGGTGTGCTCCACTGGGGCAGTGTGAGCATACTGTTTGTAGGGGAATTAACAGCCCATCAGCTTGTGGGAACAGAGGTGACCACCTGTTTAAGGTCCTCGAGGGAAAGGTTCCATCCTGAAGGACCTGCTTCTTCCTTCTCAGTGCTCCTTTCCCTTGGAGCCTCCTCTAATGTGTACTTCCCACACGGGAGCTCAGTGGTGCTGCTCCAGGCAGAGGGAGTCTCCAAGGTGCTGTCCTGGTCCTCCATGTCCTCTGCAGTGCTCCTCTGGTCCAAGGGCTCTTCCTCCTCCAAGACTGAAGGCACAGGCAGGTGCTGTCTCCATAGTTTATGCAGCTGTTTTACCACTTGATGCTGATAATGCAACTGTAACAATGGGAGGAAAGGTAAACATGAGCTGCACCTTCCCTCTTCAAACCCAACTGTTAAAGCCTCCACAACAGCCTCTGCCAGCTGCAGAATACAGGAATAGCAGCCCCATGGATCTGCCCTCCCCACTTATTTCAGTTGTGCAGTCCATACAGCAGCAATCCTCACCTGGGGATTTTTCCTGTGGAACAGCTCTTCCTCTGTGACATAGGCATCCACAGGAGATGGGGTGCGCTCAGGCGTCCCAACTTGGTCAACAAGTTCATTCAGGATGTCTTTGACTATAGAAGCACCTTCTCGAGCAGCCAGCTCGCTCTGAGGCACCACAACAGGAACAGCATGTGTGAGTCCTCATTCCACATGCAAACACACAAACTCAGTCCCACCTGTAACCACACTATTCATTATACTGAGTTTTAAGGACATGAACAACTGCAAACCCCGCTGAGCAGAGCAATACTTCCAACAGCTTTTCAAATAAACTCTACAAATCCTGCCCCCAAACTATACTTTTCAAAGCATAGTGTAATTTTCAATTTATACCTTAACTGCTATAATAGTGTACAGCAGTACACTACTTCCCACTAAATAACTAATGAAATTAATTACCAACAGAAATTTCATTCTTTAAAGGACCAGTGTGAACACTTTAGGAGACAGTCATGTCTTTAGTAACAACATTACAATAGACTGCAGAGTTCCTCATTTCATTTAGCAAACCTGCTCAAGTATGTGCAGACATTCTGTAAATCTCATTCTCAGCAGTAATTGCACAACAATAAAAATACCATGTTGTCCACTCCCATCCTTATCCTCTATTTGCATATAAAGTTCAAAGCTCAGTTACCCAGCTACATGCTTGGTTACCTCCAATTTCTCTCTGAAGTCAGCAAATTTATCCTCATACACAGCAATTCCCCAAAGGGTCACCTGAAGCAGAGCTCCTCCTAATAACAGAGGATGTGTCCTAAATTCCCAGGGCTCACTGAAAATGCCTGCTCTCTCTGACTTGAAAATAAAAGAAAACCTCCGAGTTTCTCCAGGCAAAATTACACCTGAAATAAGAGAGAAAATGCATTGGTGTGCAAGAAACCACCTGGTTAGCCTGACCCTTTTCCAACACCACCCCAAGTGTCCTTATCTTTCTAGGAGACTCTTTCCCCATAGTTTAGCTGGCTATCACACTTCATCCAGCTATCATTCTCCTTCCAGATTTACTCTCAATCCCTTATGTTCCTGAACTGGCATTATTCCCATTGCACTCTCCTACAGCAAGCTCAGTTTTCTCTCCAGAAGATTATGACCTGTTTGCCACCAGAAAATTATTCACTTCTCAATATTCCACCCATTGACACTCAGAGCAGAAGCAACCTCCTTTCCTTTAAGTTCCAGGAGAGGGATCTGCCTTGCACAGCTCTTTTGGGGTGAGTCAGCTCTGACACCCAGGGTGGCTTCCTCAAGAGAAATTACCCAGCAGTGCTCTGCCATTAGTCAGACTCCACAACCAGGGTAACTCCCAAATTCCTGCTCTGTGCTTGAGGTACAAAGGTCTTGGAGACCAGCAGGTCTCATACCTGGTCTGGTATCAAAGTAAAAACAGGGCACTCTCCTCCCCTTGACTTCTCTGGAGGGGATCTGCTGAGGAAGCCTCATCCAGTTGTACCAAATGGCAGCTCTGCCATCATTGATCACTGTCAGGAAGCTTTCAGCCTTCTCACTAGCCAGAGTCTCAAAGGTGAGCCGGGCAGCAATACCAATTTCCTTCTACAAGGAAGAGGAAAAAGATAACAATTTCTACTCTGTCTGGTAGGATTTATCCTGCATGAAGTCACAGCTCAAATAAGGGGCTGAGCCTTTGTAGGAGAACTTGTAAGGCAGGTCCAAAGAAGTGGCCTCTATCCAGAGAAAACCTGGGAATCTGAACTGCACACCACAACCACAGCCCCTGTGTTCCTAGATCACTCTGAAGCAAACATAGGGATACTCTATTATATACAGAATAAATCCCCCATTCTGTGGCCTTGGAGTGACATGTATTGTATAACTGTGACTTGGAGCTCAGATAGGCTTAGCTTGACTAAACAATTAAAATCTCACAATTACCCTGCAAGCAGTGATTCCCTTGATCCAACGAGCAGGCTGGCCACAGAAAATTAAAGATGGAACTCTTTCAGCTTCTGGAACTGCAGTGAAGAAGTCACCTACGGGGTCACTGCTAAAGAAAACAAAAGCCAGCGTTTTCATGGAGTGAAATTCACTTCCAGAGAGGGGAGAACCAGGGGTGATTTACAATACCCTGTAAGAAATAATTCCATTTCATATTTTCTCACGCACTAATCTGTTTAGGGACAGAGCCCTGCAGATGTGGTGAACCCATCTAGCTACATGATGCTGGCAAGGAGGACAGGACAGCCATTATATTAAAGAATGAGACCTGTCTGAATTACATGACTGAAAAAGGACAAGAGGCCCTCAGGCTGTGCCTGTAACAGATGGACAAGACAGGGAAAACTAGGAAAGTAATGATGGAAGGGTGGAAAAAGACAATCAAATGGAGGTGATTGAGAGTAGAATCCCACCCAGCCTGATTTAAGCTCTGAAGCCACAAAGAGTGGAGACTGGAGGAAGAGCCTCAACAAAACTTTTCTCTGATTCTTGCTCCTTAGACACAAGGCCCCAAGGCACAAAGGCTCCTAGATCTGGTGATTATAATATAAGAATATGCCTTTTTATTGTGTCCCAGTGGAGACTTGTCTTATTCTGGATAAGAAGAGCTAAGGATATCCTCACAGACTGGTAGTGCACACCAAAATTCTTTATTTTGCCACAAAGTATGCCACGAAGTAGAACTTACAGGGTTTCAATTTCTTCAGAAATGGTGGTATGTAGAAAAGCCTCAGCTGAGACAGATGTGAAAGGCTGTCCTTTCCCAATCACCTCCAGTCCTTCCAGATCCTGGACATACACAGAAATTACCAACTCACAGTTGCTTTTCTACATAGAAAGGACATTAAAACACCAGACAAATGCACTAACTTAGCCAAGTAAAGTGAAGTTGTGATTTCTTGCTCCTACAATGGTTTTTAGAGGCATCCGAAAAAGGCTCAAGGGACACAGGAAAAGAACCAATTCTGAGATTCCCAAGAATCCTAAATAATTCCACCCCCCACTAGCAATGATGCACAGAGAAAATGTCCTTCACATGTTTGTCATCCTCAGAGACAGGTTTCAAAGACAAAAAAATGTGATGTTTGTTCTGTTTGTAGGAGGAGGGGCCATCTGCCTTCAGGAGTTTATTTCAGAGTGTGTCTTCCACATGGGTAAAGATCTC